AAAAAAAACAAACAAACAAACCAAGAGGGAGTAGTCCTCCATAGCCTCTGTATCAGTTTCTGCCTCCAGGTCCCTGACCTGCTAGAGTTCCTACCCTGACTTCCCTCAGTGATGGACCATTACCAGGAAGTGTTAGTGAAATGCAACCTTTTCCTCCCCAAGTGGCTTTGGCCATGGTGTTCTGCCACAGCAATAGAAACTGTAACTGGGACATTACTATAGCATCTCTGCGGCCTCTGAAGTCTCTCTCTACTATCCAGTTCTTCACAAAAAAAAAAAAAAAAAAAAAAGAAAAAAATTAAGTGGTATTAGTCTCTGTTGTGAATTATTCCCTTAGGAAATATCTAGATCTCAAATCTTGCTGAAGCAAGACTAAAGTAGTTACAGAGTATTTGAACCTTTCTAAATGCTTTCTTAAAGAAAAAATTGCTTATGTATTTATTACTGTACTCATGCAGAGACATTGTGTTTATATTCCCACTTTCCCAAGCAAAAACAGATGAGGCAATCTGTTTATATAACCGGCAACTTGCCTTGCACCACGTAGATGTGGGAATTTATGAATGAACACCTAAGCTTTGTGCTCATTCTAAATGTTCAAGAGCCATGTGTATTTGTGGTTGTGTTTCTCTACTTTGGCTGCTTATTTTTATTATTAAATAACTAATTTCAAGCAATAAATCTTTTATATATCTAAGCATCTTACGAAGTCTGGACAAAGTCAGACCAGAGAAAATGACTGGGTTCTGTTTGACTTAGTTATACTAATTAATCATGTTTTCTTGGGTTTCAACTAAAGAGGCTGAGATTTAGTGTGGCTCTCATGTTCTCTTTTTGCTTATATTAAGCACAAGAGGGGTTTCTGTGGGTTTCTTAAGGATCTAAAATCCAGATAGTCAATTTTCCTATTTCCTCTGATTTTTCCCAATATTCTTTGACTTAATGAGAACACAGAAGGGTGTTAAAAATACAAAGGAAAGCTAACATTAAAAGTTCTGAAGTTACATTCTATCCTTTTGTATGCTTAAGGATTTTCTTGGTATTAAAGATATTAATGGTTTAAACTTAAATTTAAAAATTAAAACTTTATTTTATTTTAAAAACAAACAAGGCATCAACCAAACACAAAAGGTGTCAAAGGCTTGCTGTGTTCCTACAGAAGATAGAATTGTTTTGTTCAGTAGTGGAAATATGATCAGACAAAGTTATCACTTAGGAAACTCAGTTCTGAGGAGAAAACAAAGTACAAATCCTAAAGGAAGTCGAGCTGAAAATAAAAGCATCCATGGAAGAAAGGCTAATGCTATGGCCACGTAGTATAGAGAACAATTTGTTCCAAATAAAGAAGGGTGGGTCTCAGAAAATGTTCTACAGGAAATACACATAGGCCTTCAGTGTTGAAGCTTCTGGTCGATGAGATGGATACGGAGTGAAGGCTCCAATTCACGGCCCTTTAAGGAAAGAGAATATCAAGAATGGAAGCAAAGATGTGTGTCTCACAGTCCCTTCCCATGCTGCATAGAAGTGATGTGTACACGCATCTGCTTTCCTCCCAGAGTTAAAAGTCTAAGACGACATCATATCTTCATCATACTGCTCAAATTTCCACTCAGATGTCCCTTTAACTAATTAATGGTGCTTCTAGCATTTAATAAAATCTAATCATATTTGTATGTTTTTGGCTACTATTCATGGTAATAATACCAATGCTGCCTGAGTTGGCTTCATTTTTATTCACTCAGTACTAGCGTGAAGTGATGTAAATATATGTACCACAATGTTGACTCTCTCATGCGCTATCCCCAAAGTGTCTCCTTCATGGGACTGCTCAGGACATGTTTACATTAAAGGCTTGAGAAAGTAACGTAGTAGAAAGTGGACAAGTTGTTTTCACTTTCTTGGACCTGAGCTTTTTCCAACTTATTTCATGACATTTTTTTTCTCATGGCATTGATACCCATTGCAGACTCTGCTCTATAAAGGACACTGTGAGCTCCTCACTTTTCATTTTCCCCCCAGCCTCACCAACATTCTCACCGATAGTCACTCCATATTGCCAAAGTGAAAAATGTAGCAACAAGGCTCTTAGTTCTGCCTCGTTTTCTGCCTCTGAAATGAAGATTTGATCATGTGATCAGGTGTCCACATTCCTTGAAATGAACATTGAATAATCCCCTGTCCACATCGGGCATCTTTTCTTAATTATAGCAAAATAATGTGGCCTATGTTATTTTAAGATTTAGTTTAGACTTTTGTCCTTTGAAAAATAAACCTGTGTCATTTGGGTTCATATGTTTATTTTTGATGGGGAGTTAAAAGAGGATTCAGTAAAGTCTCCCTCAATGTCACCACCCACAGCTGTCTGGTCTGTTAATGCTTTCCCAGAGCTCCATGTCGTACTAGACACTGGGCCACGGAAATGGCACAATCCTGTCTGTCCATCACACTGGATCCCATGTCTGTGCTGGACTCAGCCCTCTGTACTGTCGGTTCACTTTGAACTTATTTTCTGTTCACTGCTAGGGACTGGTCCCAGTCTGGGGACATTTTTGTTTTGCAAAAATATCACATGTAGTAATGATGCCATATCAGAAGCTCAGAAATTCACCAAGTTAAAAAATTAATAAATGCCAGGAAAGTTTTGTACAAAAATAATACTATAAAACACTGTGAAATAACATAAAAAATAGAAATACATTAAAAATCTGTAATATAAAACATTTTACCTTGTGCTTGTTCTAGGTCAAATTCTAAGCTCAGTAGCTTAAATTATCTAATTTATTTGCTTTTACTCTAGGGTTACAGTACAATGTCTTGTACGCAGTGTACTCTGAAATACTTTTATTGAACTGAATTTGGCTTCTCAAACTACTGGATTTTACACTGGGAATTGCTTCCAAGAACACCTGGATCTCTGAAGAGCAATGAACTCTCACATCATGTAAACTTGCTGGGTTTTCACATCAGAGGGATGTGCTTGAGCCACTGGGTGGGCGTGGGTGGGATAAATGTCCTGAACCTTAAAGCATCCTCGTCCACTAGAATGTCCAAAGATGGGGGAAAAATTTCACATTTGCATTAGACTTCCCTTAGCTTGTGGGGGCCTCTGAGTTAACAGCTATTATATCGTGTTAGTAAATCTCAACTGAATGGGATGTGGCAAAACAAAAAGAAAAAGAAATGAGGACGGAGAGAAAAAAAGATAAGGAAGCAGAATAAAGGAGAGGAAGGGGAAGGGGCAGCAAGAAAATGAAGCTTGTTATTTCCAAACTTTCATGTCTCATCCAAGAATGGTCTAAATTCAACTGAACGCCTCTAGGTCAGTTTTCCTGGATGATTGGCAATCTGCAATCCCTTTCAAAAGAGAAAAGTTTGATAATGTGGTCCAGTTTTTAATGAAATTCAATAGATAGCATACTAGTGGAAAGATTAAACTATAACTGCATTGAAACAACGTGTTTTCTCAGGCTTGGAATGCACCAGCTTCTATTGTGTTGCCTCCTCGTGCAGAGGCAGGGTCCACACCTGCCGTTGGATCAGAGCTAACATACCGATCGCATTGTGCCAACTGCTTCAGCTAAGGCTCCATTCAACTCAGTGTTTCTCTTTCATGTGCCGGAACTTCATTGTCAGCAAAGAGAGTAAAACCATATTCAGGGTACAATTGATTTGACCCTCACAGAGCAAAGCCTTACCAATCATTCATGTGGTATGTCTACTTTTGTAATTTCTTTTGTCGTCCCTTTCATTTTCTCGTTACAAATCCAGCTCCCAACTTTTTAACCACACAAGATCCCAGGGCTAGGTGTGGGAGACTTTTTTTCTAGCTGTTGGTCGGGCTGGGGTCTAAGAAACCCCCAAACAACCTAGGATATTGGTGTTACTCTTGGTTGCCTAGCATAACTTTCTGCTGAAAGCCTGTTGCTGAAAACACCACACAGTTTGGCATCAGACATAAAAAAAAAAAATCAACTTTCTGCTGAGCAGGAACATCCTAGCCTACTTGCTAGCTTTCACAGTGATACAAAGTTCTATGCAGCTTTTGGGGTGGGAGTTCAAGAAGATTGTTATCAGTATTTCTATCCAGCTAGAAACCCTGTAGGCTATAATGATGAACAGCCCAGCAAGATGCTCCCATTGATGCAGTCGTGACATGGATGATATAGGGTAACAGCACACTTTCTAACTGGATTTAAGGCACACTCACAGGAGGAAACTCAACCCTGTAATAAATTTACCTAAGAACCTATGACTGGAGAGGTCATAGAATTATGGAAGAACCAATATGGTAGTGTTTTGCTAAAATGGAATAGCTTCAAATTGACTTCCAAATATGCATTTTCTAGAGACTGACATATTAATGACAAGGGATACAGCTAGGATCCAACTATTAATTGCTAAGGCCATGTATAAATATGAAGAAACCGGGCTCCTTGTTGTGGGAGCCACTGATTGTGTGGCTAGATTTAGAATTTTCTAATAATTCTGGGTTATCTCATAATATTAACAATTAAGGATGGGAAAAGGAAGAGGATGAGGATAAAGAAAGGAATAAGAACCAAGAAAAAGCATACATATTAAAAGAAAAATCTTGTTTTGTCAATTACAGTAACACTGAGTTACTTAATCAATAAAATATCAATAACTTTGAAATACACTCAACTAATCCCTGAGCAAATGTTGATATAGATATCCTTAAGAGGGGTCATTCTCAGTCCGTAAGCTCTGTGGAAAGACCTGCTTGAAAATGTTATTTGCCATACCTGTGCCATGGACCATGTATGCCGTAGGAAAGGTTTCAGTGCTATCAGAAAGGGTGCCATTCATCTTACCCCAGATTAAAATTTATCATGAGATCAATATTCAACCATTGTAATAGAAAAGAGTATCTTTATAGTTTTTATTGCTCAGATGAGTATGATGCTTATGAGACATTTGCAAATAGACTAAAAAGTAAGGCTTTATGAAAAATAATAAACGTTTATCAACCTGACCATAGATGAGTCCAACTTTCAGCCCTCAGTAGAGAAGCTGCTTTGGTTTTGAAGTGGACAGTGGTTAATACAGAGGTTTGCAACTGGTCAAGGTGCAAAGAAAAACGGACTGTGGAGCAGACAGTTTTAAAAAGGACATGTATACAATGCCCCACTGTCTTAAGGCTAGGGGGATCTCAAGGAAGAGGAGATTGTAAGAGCCACAGATCAGAGAGAACTGTGTCAAAATGGTGTCTTCTGAATACATTGTACTCATAAATTCACAGAAATCCTCTACAAGATCAAACCAGAAAACATTCCAATGTGGAGGGGGAAAGGGTTCACCAGGCCCAACTCCTGAGGATCTAGGGCAGTTTGCTTCTCTGAAGGGACGGAGCTCTGTCAGCTGCCAACACTACAGTAGATGGCTCTATACCCACGTGTGTATGGGCAACACTAGCTGGACTCAGAGGATGCAGCGTTGGGAGGAGGACGTAATGGGAAAGGAAAAAAAAATGTTGGAGGGGGTGTGGTGATGTATATTGATGTGAATATCATCAAAATGCAATGTTTGTGTGCACCGAGTTCTCAAATAAATTTTGTTTGTTTTTTGTTTTGTTTTGTTTTTTTGTTTTTTTTTGAGACAGGGTTTTTTTGGGTAATAGTCCTCGTTGTTCTAGAACTCACTCTGTAGACCAGGTTGACTTCAAACTTACAGAGATTTGCCTGCCTCTGCCTCCCAAGCGCTATGCCATCATTACCCTGCATTTTTTTTATTTTTAAGAAATAAATCAAAACTTTGGCGTATAAAAAGCGTTTTCTATTGAAAATCACCATTGCAAAAGAAAAGTTCTGTCAAAGTGGCAAAGAGGTTCATTTCAATAGCTAGCTGCTGTTTGGTATTAGATTGAGCCAAGGACCTGGAGAGCTCAATGCTAATTTCCTAGGTGATCCTCAGTGTGGTATAAATCCAACACAAACAGAATCTCGACACAATCTTCAAGTGACTTGGAATATGGAATATGCATACTTTTTAATTCCAGAAAACACAGAGATGAAGTGACTTATCAGCCTTGAAACATAGCCCAAAGTTTTCCAGTTTGCAAACCCTGCTGTTATAGATCTAGCATCCTAAGCAATCAAATTTTGATTTACATACTCCCTAGATACATTGGACTCTTCAAGAAAACACCTAACTGGGTAGAATTTAACATTTGTGTGGAAATATTTGTAATTTATTTAAAAAGACAGTTTCTTAAGCGCATGAATATTTCTTTAAAATGTTGTATAATCAGTAATTGTAATTTATGAATATACTCTACTCTCCAAGATTTTCATCACTACTGGGGTCCATTGCTAAGGCCTGTAATTCAGGGACAAACTGGTGAAATCAGCTACCCCAAAACTTGAAAAGGTCAGAAAAAAAAATGGCTTGTCATGCTTTCTAAAATAACACAGAAAGACTTCTTCTAGCCTAA